CGGCGCGGCATCGGGGCGGCCGAGGGCGGAGCCAGAACTGCCCGACGCTGGCCCAGTCGCCGACATATCAGCGCCGCGACTCCGGGTGCCCCCGACGGCGACCGCCCTAGGACAGAAGGGCCCGTCGTCCACCGGGGGCGTCGTCGCCAGGTCGGTCCAGGGCCTGTCGCCCTGGCCACGCACGCCGGCCTGCCACACCGGCCTGCTCTTCGAGGTGGTCGTCCCCCACGCTCTGGCGTCGTCTTTCACGATCTTGTGGGGGATCGTGCCGGGCTTCGTGCTCGTCCGCCCGGAGGGGGAGCAGCTAGCAAATGACGGGGGCCGCCCCAGACCCCCGTCGTCGTGCTTTTTGTCACAACGTCGACCCCCCGTTTTGCATCCTGCATCGTTTTCTGACGCTCCCGGGGCCCGGTGAGGGCCCCCATGGGGCCGAAAACAGCGAAAAACCTCCCGTCGTGATATTGCCACGGCGCGAGGAGGCCTGGGGCCCAGATCACCTCGCAGCGTCGGGGCGTCCCGCGCGGGCCGCCACGACGCTGCTCGCCCGCGGGCGGAGGCCCCAACCGCGGGCGTTCGGCGCCCGCGGGCGCGCGGCGCCCGTCGGAGAGAGCGCGACCTCCTCGACGACGGCGGGGGCCGCCGCCGGGCTGGAAGGGCGCGGCAGGGGCGGCGCTGCGGGGCGGCGGCGGGCGCGCGCAAGTCCGTCCTTTCTCCCTCCCCTCTGCTTCCGACCCTGCCACAGGAAGTTCAACAGTGTCGCGCACAGCGCAACTCTGATTCCCACTCAGGGCTCGCCCACCTCCCTGCAAGCGCTCGCCGCGGTCTCCGCGAGCGTCCGGACCAGTGCGACGGCCAGCTCCGCGCGCCACCTCCGGAGCGAGCGCGGCGGCTGCCCCGCCGCCCGCGCGGCCCGCTGGAGCGCCAAATCCTCGAGGACTGCTCCCGATGCTCTCCCCCCGCTGCTCTGCTGCTTTTGCGCCGTGGCTGAACTGGTCGGCGGCCCAGCAGCGCTCAGGCAGAGCTGGGGGGCACGCGTGCGGGCCCCTCCCGAACCAGCCGAGGCCCCCGCAGCGCGCAGGCCTCCTGCCTCCCGGGTGGGAGGGGGGCGGCGCGGGGCGCCTGGGAGCGGATGCCGACCCTGTAGCCGTGGAGCGCCCGAGGTGGCGCGCGGCGCCGCGGAGCTCTCGCTCGAGGTGCCGCGCTGGCCCGCGCAGCGCGGGCCCGGGCAGCGGCGCCCGCGGGACACCGCGGTCGCGCCAAGGGCGCCGCTGCCCGCGAAGGCGCGGCCGAAGCGGCGGGCTCAGCGTGGCCGCGGCGGAGACGCGCGGGGGCCGCAGGGGAGGGGGGGGGGGCGGACACTGGATGATGGCAGTGGCATGGCGACGGACTCAGAGTCAGTCGCCCTACAGCTGCCATCAGTGTCCCCCCTCCCCTCGGCGGCCGCTGCTCTAGAGTCTAGAGTCACTCTAGACACGTCTACAACAACAGAGTCACCACAACAGCAGCGAACGTGTCTTGAGTCACTCTAGACACGTCCGCTGCTCCCTGGCCAGGCCCACCCCGAACCCAGCAGCGGCGTGTGCGCCACGCCCTCCTGGCTTGGCCAGGAGGGTGTATGCACGGCTCCTGGGTTCGGGATGGGCCTGGCCAGGGAGAGGTGGACGTGCATAGATTTCGTCACCCGGACTTGGCGCCTTCAGGTATTCAGGTCAGAGTTGCAGAGGTGCGCTGGCAGCCCTCCCTACGGCCGTCTTCGGTGGCCGAAAGACCGCAAGGACTGTGGGAGGCGCGCGCGTTCCCAGAGATCCGATATCGTGTTTTTTTGAATACTGTATGGGTCCCCCTGAAGTCTCGACCGATTCCCCTGGACCAGTTTTTAATCCTGAGTCGTGTTTTTACGGTCCTGAGGCCCGGCGAGGGCCTCTGGAGGCCGAAAACTGCGAAAAACCTTCGCCTTGATGTTGTTCAGTACGTCGGATCTCTGGGTTCTCCCTCGCGACAGGGGGCCCAAATGCCTGCGCCGCTGGGGTTAGGTCGGGCGTGTCCTCCTCCTGTTAGTCAAAACATACTCGAAGATGGCCAAAAAAATGGAAGAATCGTCCACTGACTATTTTGTTTCGACTATTTTTGAATATTCCTCCCGTAGAGGGACATGCCCGACTTCACGCCGGGGGCGGGCGGCGACCTCGACGGCACCGCCCTCCTGAGGCCGGGGCCGTGGCCAGCGCAGGACGCGCCGATCGGAGAAGGCCCCGCGGCGGGGCGCGCGGGGGCCTGGGCCGCGGCCGCGAGGCGCCGCCAGGGCCTCTTGAGCGGCGGGCGAGCACCCTGCAGGTGGAAGTTTATGGGGCCACGTGCGAGCCCTGCCCCTACCCTTGGGTCGGGCGTGTCCTCCTACAGAGGAATCTTGGATGAAGAATTAGAAATACACAAAAAAATATGCTCAAATACCAAAACAATGCTCAACACATGGTCCTCGTACTATTTTTGACTGTGGACTTCGGCACACGCCCCCTGGGGCCCCCTCCAGTGAGTGGCGCGCCCGGGGGTACTTTGACTCAGCGCGTCGCGCCGCTGGTTCTGGCCCACCGCACTTCGGCACGACAAGCTGACCACCTCCCATTCCCCAAGCGCCAGCGTCCCGAGCCTTTCCTGGCCTCCCGCCCTGCAGAGCCAAGCGACACGCTATCACCTTGCGGGACATGGCGTGTCGCCGGGACCGAGGCCGCGACACGTTAAGCCAAAGTTCCCGACCGTAGGTCGGCGGCGATCCCAGGTGGGAAGTGAAGAGGGGCGAGCCTTCTCAGAAGGCTTGGAAGTCCTCCAGACTTCTGACAAGTGTTCTAAAAGCCTTCCCCGAACACAAACACACACACACACACATACACACACACACGCACACACACACACACACACACACACACACACACACACACACACACACACACACACACAAACACACAACACACACACACTGAACGAGCACGCACTGCAACGCACGCAACGCACGCACTATCACGCACGCACCGCACACACGTTCTCAGAAGGCGTGAAGGCTTCTCTGAGAAGACCCCGCCGCCTTCTGAGAAAAATAAAAAAATAAAAAAAAGAAAATAGGAAAGAAAAAAAGAAACAAAAATGAAAAAAAAAAAGAAATAAAAAAAATTAAAAAAGAAAAAAAAAAAAAAAAAAACAAAGAAAAAAAAAAAAAAAAAAGAATAAATAAAGAAAAAAAAATAAATAACGAAAAATAAAAAATAAAAAAAATAAAAAAAAAAATAAAAAAAAAAATAAATGCAAAAAAAAAAAAAAAAATTCTGAAAAAGGGGCCTTCTCCTTCTCGCTTCCCCCCCTCGCTCGCCGCCGATCCGGGGCCCGTGCGTCCACGGCCCCCGCGCGGGTGAGGCTCAGGGCCGCGTCGCCAGGGGGTGACAAGAACGGGAGGCCCCCGCGAGGCCCTACTCTGAAGGGCCGAAAGCGCGGACATGAGGCCAGCGCTGCAGCGGGAGCACCACTTTGAAGGACCAGAAGCGCGGAAATGAGGCCAGCGCTGCCGTTGGAGCAAGATTTTGAAGGACCGAAGACGATCGCATGGGAAAAACACACAAGAAAAAAGAAAGAGCAAACGTTTGCAATCCTGTGTGGAAGCAATGCGCGGAGAGGGCGCGACGTGTGGAAGCAATGCGCGGAGAGGGCGCGACAGCTTCCAGACAGAGTCAGAGAGAGGAGAGTAGTAGTCACAATGTGTAATTGTGCAAGTGCGCTCGCGCCATATCTGACATCTTACCCCTCTCGCCCATCACTTCCCATTGCGCTGATATTTCTCTGTCCGCGGACGCGTGTCATAGCGGACCTGAAAATCCCACAAAGACGCCACCGCATTATGCGCGATCGGAAACGGGGACCTGCGTACGTAGGAGGAGGAGGAGGAGGAGGAGGAGGAGGAGGAGGAGGAGAAGAGGAGAAGAGGACGAAGAGGAAGAAGAGGACGAAGAGGAGGAGGAGGAGGAGGAGGAGGAGGAGGAGGAGGAGGAGGACGAGGAGAGGAGGAGGAGGAGGAGGAAGGGAGTACAGGGGGAGGAGGAGGAGGAGGAGGAGGAGGAGGAGGAGGAAGGGGTGGCGCATGAGCAGGAGGATGAGCAGGAGGAAAGGAGGAAGATGAGGAAGGAGGAGGAGGAGGAGGAGGAGGAGGAGGACGAGGACGAAGACGAACAGCATCAGCGCGAACTTGAGTGGAAGGAGCGGGAGGAGCAGAAGGACCATGGGAAGGTGGAGGAGGGGAAAGGAGAAGGGCTACAACAATGAGGATGGACTTAAACCTACCCCGCGCTGAGGCGAGAGCGCCATTCTGAACGACGGGAGTAAAGAGCCGATCCTAACATGAGGCCAGCGCTGCAGTAACAACATCTTTTTGAGACACCGAAGGCGTTCGGATGGAAACACGCACAGGAAAAACAAAATGATGAAATCCGGTGCAAACAACAATCATCAACAATACGCGAAGGGGGCGGGCTACTCCCCGGCCATCTGCAGGGGGGAGAGGGAACAGTCTTCATATCGAGTATGGGCGGTGGACAAACCTTCCTTTAATAAACCACCCTTCAGTGAAAACGGCCTAGGACCAAAACCGACGGAACTGGACCCGCAAAAATGAAGGCCGCGCGACCCTCTCGCGAACCGAAAACGGCCAATTCGCTAATCGACCTGTCAGGGTAGGAGGCCTATCAACCTCCGAGAGGGAGTGTGAAAAGAGGAGGGCGGAAGCAGGGGAGGGCAAGGACGCCTCGTGCCCATACGTCCCCAAGCGGCCTTCGGGTCGTGGCTCGGCTCCCTGGCGGCCGTTCGGGGCGATCTGGGCGCGCCCGGAACGCTCTCGGCGAGGCGCAGCTGCCGGAGAGCATCCCGAGCCATGGAAGCCGCCGAGAACAGACGAAACCGTCCTGCATCGTCCTGCAGCGTCCGAGAACGAAGGCCGAGGAGGGGCGGGGGGAGGGAATGGC